ACTTATCATCACTCATTGGAAATCAAATACCAACATATTAGAAAACAATCATGATAGTTTTCAACTAAGTCAATGTAGTGGGATACTTGTAGTCTGTATAGACTACAAGTATCCCACTTAGTTCGGACTATAACCATACCATATATTAGTTGGACTATAACTATCCCGAAAATGACGAGAGAAAAATGAATCACGACACACTTTTCGGGGTAGTTATAGTCTACCAATTGATGCTGTGCAAATTGCACTTGTCACGTCATTCGAGAGTCACCAAGGTGTACCGTAGCTTAACAATTGTGACCGATTTTTGTCGTCACCTCCGTATGCAACATATCGTGTGCTAGTTTGGTAATCGTGGTTGATTTCTGCCATTAGACTACATGGGTAAAAAATATATCTGACGATGCATTCAGTCATATATCGTCATTTGTGGGCCCGATGTGAGGGCTATGCCCGAACCCGGCACGTAGTGCCTTAGCTTTCTGGTTAATTCCTCGATTAGGGCCAGAGTTGAGGCACATAGTGCCGAAATAGTATTCATGACCTGGCTTTGTATGATGTGTTCGAATATCGATCAAGAATGAGGCACGTAGTGCCGAATTGTTAACTGTTATAATGCATTCAAATATCACCCAATGATGAGGCACGTAGTGCCGAATTGTTATCATGTCTGGTAATATACCAAAGCATCCGATGATGAGGCACGTAGTGCTGAATTGTTAGCATATCTGGTAATACACCAAAGCATTCGATAATGAGGCACATAGTGCCGAATTGTTAGCAGTTATTTGGTAGTCACCCAAAGCATAATTTTTATAATATATATCTTTCTATAATAATTTTACTTTGGGTGACTACCGGCAGTATACTATGTTTTACGATCCTAGAAATCTTTCTTGCATAGTTGATACTTTCGAATACTATCACTTCATGTTAAAAATACTTTGGGATACTACCAATTTTTATATCCAAAGCATTATATATATCTGTAATAATTTTACCTTGACATGCTACCGAATACCAGCTATGTTTCATATTTTTTGAACCATTTCTCGTGTAGTTGATATCTTTATATGGTAGACGTCCAAAGCATAATTTTATAATATATATATTTGGTAGACACCCAAAGCATAATTTTATAATATATATATTTGGTACATCCGGAAAATATAAAAAAATTTTACACATGTCAATTGTAAGTTTAATAATAAAAAAGTGTAAAACTTACGTCGGCACTGTAAGATTTACACAATATTACGTCGGCATCGTAAGATTTATGCAAGTTTACGCTAAATTAATTTCCTGATGTAGACACCCAAAGCATAATTTTACCTTGATCAAAAATACGCGACCCAAAAATGGTTATTGGATAAATTACCTTACATTATATCAAAAGTACTTACGTGAAATTACACGACACAAAAACCCCTTTATATGATCCAGGTATCGGAATATTAATTTTTTATTTGAATTTTTTCTTATATTAATTGTAGAGGCGACAAAAAACCCCCTACCTGAGATGAATAACTAGCCGGACGTAGCAATTTCTCTGCTTCAGAAATTACTATTTAGCTAGGTTATATATATTCGATAAGAGCTAAAGATCGATTTTTTAATTCTTTTTTGTATGGAGTAGTAGGGACCTTCATTTTAGCCTCGAAGTTGCGTTTATATTCCAAGAAAGCGACTTCATTCATGCTCTCGCGCTCTTTTTTCCAGTAATTTTGGTTATCCCGCAACTCAAAGGTAATCTTGGCTCGCCATTGTTCCAATTTTTCTTTTGACATTTGGAATTTTTCTTGTAAAAGAAGGATAAGAGTACTTATATCAGATTCGTTTTTGATGAGATATTCTGAAGATAAAGAAATTAAGGATTCAGGTAACTCTTTCTTAGCTTCAGTAATGCTTGAGAATTGTTCAGAATTATTTGATTGATTTTGAATTAATACCGAAGAAGGTAATTGTGGCGATTTTGTTACGGATTTCTCAACCATATTATTACAAGAACTATCTTCACAAACCTCATTACTGGATTTTGAAATGGTAATATCAGTGGTAATGGGTATTGAATCAAAAAGTTCCTGAGTTTCATCAATCGATTCTGGCTTGTATGGTGGAAGAATTGGAATTGTAGGACGATAATTAGGATCATTCAACTTTATAGCCTTTATTCTTTCTTGAGTCTCAAAACCAGCTCCATTATCTGGTACACGATAAATCCAATATGATTTTTTACGTACTTGATGCCCCTTGGAACCTACACGGGTTTCTCCACTCTTGACGGTATAACCACACCAATTACTTAGTATTGCATTAATAAATTTTATTGCGCCATTGAGATCTGGCATTCCTTTAGCTCTGGTCTTAAAACCAAAGAGCAATAATGCATCTTCTCGAATTTTAACAATTTTTTCCTGTGATTGTTTGAAAGCTTTTGCCACATCATCACCAGAAAGAATATTCGTATCATCTATATCACTGAATCCTACCGATTGTAAAAGATCGTGCACTGCTCTCCATTGTTTTGCTGAATAAAATTTATGTAAATCAACTGATGATGGATCCACAGATTCGTGTGAATCTTCCCATTGCATTTCTTCTTTGATTTTTAGATTTTCTATAGAATTTATTGCATTAGAACCTTGTCTTCTGAAATATGCCAGCCTTCTAAAATATTGTAAAGGTTCAGGATTATTATATCTTTCCACGAATTTTTTATCACAAAGTTTGATCCAATCATCATTATTCATACCCCAGTTTCGAATATCATCCTTACCTCCAATATCGCCTGAAGCATATGTTCTCCATAAATAATGTCGTTGCAGGGTCATGTTATCAGCAAAAGAACGTTCAGGATTTAGCTTAAGCATTTCAGCTTCATTAGGATTGATATCTGGAGCATTGACTATTAATTCTGCATCAGAACTTTTGATCCTTTCTTCAGTATTCTTAATAGTATGAAATACTTCTGTACGAGAAGCTTTGGCTAATTTGGTATCTTCTACTGCGATTAATTCTAGCGATGCTCCAGTACTAGCAATCAAACTACAAAGAATTTCCGGAAAATATTTGGCAGATAAGCGTCTCTGATACTCAACCTCAATATAGGTTTCTACTGCCGGAGATGAATCAAGTATATAACAGTCAGCGATTTTGTTCCATTCACGGCGCCCCTTTATTGCAGTTGGTAAATCTCCAGGTCTTAAGGCCGAAAGTTCTGCACGAATAAGGTCACGATTTGGTTCTCTAAAAATCTCAGAATGTATTTTACTATTGTAAAGAGAAACAATACGATACGGGCAATCGCGAGTTCGATAAAGCATCTGAGTAAATGCTTCAGCGTGTACTCCTGTATTAATATTACTAATTGCTATAACTGCATCAAAATAGTTAGGAATTTCGAACGAGATGCCTGACTCCACAGTACTTGTATAGATTACACAATCAAGGCCACTCCAGGTAGCATTAATATCAGCAAAGTCATCCTGGCGTTGTTTTCCATCCATTTGACTAAAATAAACTCGTGATAAAACACATGAACCGTCTGGTTTTTGCAACTTAGATGCTTGATTAGCTATTGCCCGAGCCTTTTTGCAGGAGGTCATTGAAAAGACAACACGCTTACCTTCTTTAAGCATCTCAAGACCTTTACGTATAGCTTCTGAACCTTTATTTGAATCATAAAGGATTTTTACGGTCTCACTTTTACGTGGCTGATACTTATTATCAAAAACTCGGATGTTTTCACCCCGGTATTGTCTTAAGAAGGCTAAAGTCGACTCATTTGCAAAAGCATCCATGGCAACCACGTGAACAGCCGACTTTAACAAATCCCGCATGGCATTTTCAGATTCTCGTGCATGGATTCCACTTGCCATTTGACGCATAATACCATTCGCTTCATCTAAAATAACTACATGAGAACGACCCCCATGGAAATTAAGACGATGTGTACTTTCGACCTGAACAATAATAACATCCCAGTCACGTATAGCTAAATTGCCTTCATTTTCCTGATAATGGCACACACGAAGCCCGGATTTCTGTAATACTTCGATTTTACTTTTAGTTTCATTACTAAGAGTTTTACGATATGAAACCCAGTTAAAACAAGGTAAATCCACTCCACTTTTAGCTAAAGAATCGAGGATTTCTCTTAATGTTTTTGTTTTGCCACTAGCAACAGGTGAGCGAATAAGAGTTGTAGTGAGTTCCTCGCTTAAGAAATCAGGGTAAGCTTCTGGTGCATCTTTCATTTCCTTTACATTAATGATTTTTCCAGATAATTCTACAAGTGGGCGTGGAGTTGATACAGCCTTGGGTAATCTTTCAATTAATCCCCACTTAGGCTTTTCTTTCGATTCGACTTTATCTGATACCTTTTCAAAGCTTAATCCCTTATGATCTGGCTTATATTGTTTTTGTCGATAGCACTTAAGTATAAAACGCCCATTTTTTCGAATGAATCCATAGAGTTGATCCTTATCATGTTTAACGTCACATATAGGGCATTCTTTAACGGATTGTGCTTGAAAGTTAACGAATCCTTTCTCAGTTCTTCCAATCTGGAGCCACCCATATTTTTCAATAACCATATTAGCCCCATTCACCAAAGCATTTTCATCATCGATGGGTTGGAATTCTTGTTTTACTGGCTCCTCTGGAGAGAAGGTTCGTGGCCAGATTTCAGAAATATCAAACCTAGGTTGAACTAGATAATCTTCTAGCTTACGATATCCTTTCTTAACTGAAGAAATTGTAGGTCTTTTAA